CTGAGGTCAATCTGGAGGTAGACACTGAGTCACAGTCCACACGCACCTGGACCCATGGGGCAGCCACGCCCAGCCAGGTTCAGGTCCCGAAGACAGGATCTCCACACCTCAGGGCTCCCTCCTTCCAGGCTTGGGTGGGCAGATGGGGTGGAGACCCTCAGGGAGGGGGTCTGAGGATGAAATCCCCACCCCAATTACTGTAGTCCTGTCCATATCTCTTCCCCACTGGCCTGATCACTACTGTTCCCATTCTCACCGTCCACCCACTTGCCTCACCCGCGTTTTTGGTGTTGGCTCGACGAGGGCAGTTTGGGGAACGAGGGGCTGGGGAGCCAGGACTCCTGGGTCTGTTACTTGCTGTCCCCGCTCTTACCACCACCAGGCTTCCCAGCCCTGCCAGAGGAGAAGAGAGAGGGAAACCTGCCCCCCCAACTCCTGCCCCCTACCAGGAGAGTTTCGGTCACCTCCTCCTGGGGCTGCAGCCTGTTTGGCCAGACCTGAGTGGGGGAGATCACCAAGAACACGCTACGGGCCAGACCCTGGGAGCAAAGCCCAGCAAAAGCCTGTTTACTCTGTGAAGACACACAGAGAGGTGGTCAGATAAAGCCAGGATGGGGGCAAAGTCCCAGGAGGCTTCAAAAGGGAGGAAGAACACAGACAGAATGGAGGTGGGGCTCTGGGAAGGGGGCTTGGAAGGCAAGGGGAGCTGCGTGGTACAACTCTGGGGGTGCAGAGGGCACTGAGGACAGGAATCGCCACAAACGGGAGTGTGCAAGGCAGCGGGACTAGGTGAAGGAGGACATTTGGGGAGAAGAAACATGGAGGTCAAAGGTGCTGATGGGGGTGGGGGGGCGGAATGCACTTAATTCTAGGAACCCGGAGGAATCCAGTCTGACCAGACCCTGGGGTCGTGGGGGAGGGGCTGGAGAGAAAGGGCCAGAAATCTCTGCCCCAAGTGTCACTGAGCCCATCAGGATCAGCAAGGGCATTGGATGCCAGGCAGAGAGGTGCCCGCACACCCTAGGGAGATGTCTCTGGAAACTAAATAGAGGTGAAAGAAAGCAGGGGAGGGGTTGAGGGGGTCTTTGTCAAGGAGAGTGGCTGGATCAAGGGAGCCCCTCACCCTCCACGTGGTCGCCACCACGTGGGGATCTTCAGGTCCCAGAGCCCCCAGCACTGTCCAGCACCACGCTCAGTGCCCTGGGGTGGCTGTGTGTCCTCCGGCTTCCCATGGAAGCATCAGCAAGCATGCGTGATTTAGGTTGGAGTCCTCTGTGAGCCCTGGGCACACCGGAGGCCTTTGGACCCCGTGTTGACAACCTGATACACCGCAGGGCTGGCTGGGACAATCTAGCGTGATGGGGAAGTCGCGGTCTTGCGCTGTGGTTGGCGGTAACGCATCCGGCCCCTCTGTGAGGCCGGGGGGCTCCCAAAGACCGAAGCAATGCCTGTCTCAGCACAGGGGTGCTCGGTGAATGCTCGGGGCGCTCAGTAAGGCAGGAGGCATTCTCCTGGTTCCCAAACGCCCTCCCCCACTCTCCCCTACACACACACACACACACACACACACACACACACACTGCCAGGGACACACACCAACACAAACAGGGATGGTTTCTGCCTGGACCACACCTCCCAGGGTTTTCCTTACAAGGCTCTGAGGAACAGCACACCCCAAGGCCTGTGGGCTGAGCAACAGAGATAACTACCCTTCGAGATTAAGTGCTTTCCTGTGATGACTTCATCACAGCCTCCCCATCAGTAAGGAGGCAGGGTCTCTTCGAGCCTTCGCACAAATGGGTAAGCTGAGGCCGGAGAAGGCCGAGGGCTTGCCCAGGATGGGATGGGCACTCCTCCATCAGAGCCTCCTTAGCCATGGTCCCAGCACCTCAGCAAGCT